ACATCAGCTGGGAGGGAAATGGATCTTGGTGGTGGAGGAGAGAAAGAGAAGGACGGGAAAGGTTCAGTGGGGAAGCAGGAGCGGGAGGGAGGGAAGGAGGATGAGCTGTCAGGGGGTTTGCAAAGGCTCTGCTCCAGCTGGGTGGTGCCCGAGGTCAGGGGTGCCCCGAGGGGCCGGAGGCTCGGCTGGTCCCGGCTCTGCAGCTCCTGCCCGGGGATGCGCAGTCTGTGGCTCCCTCTGCTGAGCCCGGCCCCGAGCTCTGCTCGCCGAGGGAGGCTCAGGCGCTTCCTTGGGGCTGGAAATGCATTTTCGGGAGGTCCAGAGATCATCTCGATGCCAGGCTGAGGGCTTGGAGGTGGGAGAGCCCCTCTGCTGCATCCCTCTGCCAGGTGATGCTGCAAACATCCACCTGTGCTGCCTCTTGATAGGGGAGGGAATGGAGCTGGTTTATCCAAAAACAGAGGCTACATGCCAGGATGAGGTATTTTTAAAAATATTATTATTTAAAATTAGCCCCAAAATCTATTTAAAAATTATTATTATTTAAAATTAGCCCCCAAATCTATTTTCTTTAGAAAACTGGGGATTTTGGCTGAGCTGGATTGCATCTTCTCTGACCAGGCTCTGTCAGTGGGGTGATTTTGTAGAGAAAAGGGGGAAAATCACAGAAACACAGAATGGTTTTGATTGCAAGGGACCTTAAAGATCATCTTGTTCCAATCTCCTGCCATGGGCAGGGACACCTTCCACTATCCCAGGCTGCTCCAAGCCCCATCCAACCTGGCCTTCGAGGGATGGGGCAGCCACAGCTTCTCTGGGCAACCCGTGCCATGGCCCCACCACCTTCTGAATAACCCATTTCTTCCTAACATTTCAATCTCTCCTGTTTTAAAACTCTTTCCCTGCTGTCCTGCTCCTCCAGGCACCAGCCCTGCCTGTGCTGGGCTTTGGGAGAGGCCATGGGGAGCTCTGTGGGTATCAGGTACCCAAGCTGATCCCATGCCAGGACCCCAGGGACCACCCATCCCTGCCACTTCCAGCGATGCCGTGGCCCCGAGGTGCCCATTCCAGGCATACATTCCCGAGCCTTGTGCTGATCCCAGCTTAAAGCAGCTCCCTGGTGGTGGCAGAGGCCACACTGGGTGAAGTGGCCACGCTGCTGGCCTGGGCTGCCATGAGCAGCTGGTTATTTGTGTATCCTGGGAGCATTCCTGGCTGGCAGCCAGGCCGGCAGCATCACCCGCTCCCTCTCGCGCAGCCGCAGCCAGCAGACATGGGGAATTAATTATTCCTTGATCCCGAGGAGCTCTGCTGGAAAAGCCCTCTCCATCAATGCATAAAAACCTCCCTGGAGTGGGAAATCCCTGCCTCCTGCTGCTGCTGATAGGTTGTTCCCTGGGATATTCCCCTCGCTGTTAAATATGAGGAATTTGTACCCACACCGGGAAGCAGGGGTCAGGCAGAAGGGACACGAGCATCCCCTTGGAAGGGGCACTTGCCTGGCTCCAGGGCTGGGGCTGCTTCTCCATCACCTTTTGGAGAAGGTAAACATGGAATAAAAAGATCACATTAACAAATGTGGGGTTATCCAGCTCCTGCTGGGATCACGACAGCTCAGCAGCTGCTGAACCAGTGCCACAGCTCCTGCCTTTGCTCCCGGCTGGACATGAGCTGCAGGTGTGGGCTGAAGGGTTCCTGATTTCCCCGGGCTGGACAAGCCTCAGGTGTGGTGGAATCCGGGTGCACTGGCAGGTAAAGCCTTTAGTGTCCAGAATGGATTCATCCAACAGCTTCTGGAAGGATGGGAATGATTTTTTTTTCCTCCTGCTTTTCCTTTTTTAAGCCTCTTTCCTTTTGCCAGGCAGTAGGAGCCACAGACTCTCCCTAATGTGTGGCTGCCATGGGCTTTCCTTGGAGCCTTTTCAGCCCTTCCAATTCCAGTTTTCCAACCCAGGTTTTTCTATCTTGTCCTTTTTCTTTCCATTCTCTTGTTAGTCCAACAACCCTGTGCTGTGAGACCCAGACAGCAGCACAGGGACCTGGGAAGACAATTCCAGACGAGTGCAGGGAGCCATGGCCAGTGGGCTGTGGATGCTCTCATGGACAGGGAAATTCAGGTGGGACCAAACCATGGCAAATATTTCTCTTTTGGGGTTGCCCAGCCCAAGATGCTTGGGAGCATCCTAAATAGAAGGAGCTTGAGGACATGGTTTTGGGGTCTTGGTGCCATCAGCATTTGGAGAGCTCACCAGGAGCCTCATCCTAGGTAGAAGCAGCAGATGAAGTGTTCAAACAACCTGAATAAACCCTGTGTTTACAAGTCCTGCTCCTCGTGGGGGACCTGAGCTACCCTGATGCCTGTGGAGGGACCTCTGGGACACCCAGGAGGTCTCTGGAGGGCATCCCTGGGCCTGAATGCAGGAATGGCCAGGCTGATGAGGCAGAGAAGAGCCTGCAGCACTGGGATTGACCAGCCTGGAGATGTGGAGGCTCAGATTGAGAAAACGGAAAAACCAGGGGCAGAAGGTCCTGCCCTTGGCCCTTCCCGCAGCAGAGTAACCACAGGAAGTGCAGGTCTTAAACTCAGAAAGAACCCAACCTTAAAATCCCATCCCAAAAGTCTCCACATACAGGCTGAGGCTCTGGGCCAAGCCTCCGTGTGCCTCCACAGCCTCCGAGCTGCTCCAGCCCCAATTCCTGCCGATTTCAAAGGAAAATCCTGTTATCTAAACAGCTCCTGGGGCGTGGGCATCCCAAAGGGACAGCCAAGCAGCTGCCTGGGGAATGCCAGGGATTTGGAAGCTCTGCCACAGGCTTTAAATAAAGATCCCCAACCCCCTGTGGAACTGTGGAGGGCTCCTCCCCTCTCGCCCACGGGACCGACATCTATTGAATTCCAATTTTTTTTTTGCGTTAGGGAGTCCGAAGCCGCCTGCCAAGAAGGAGATAAATAAGGAGGCGCCACACCCCAGTGTTACAAAACCTTGTATTAATCATCTCCCTTCACTTTCAATATAGCGCAGATATGAAATATAGCCACGGTTCCTAGTTACACGGGAGGAAATGAGTAATAAATACATCGGAGCAAGTGGAAATCACGAGGGCGTTTCACTGGGAACAACATTGGAAAACTGTACACTTGCAAAGACTGGCATCTCCAAACATTAGTATTTCTTTATATCGGGAAGCTTTTACATGTAACAAACATGCTATTGCCATATATGACAAAAAAAAAAATTAAAAAAAATAAAAAGAAATTAAAATTTAAAAAATAGGCATTGCTCGGCAACATTAACTAGGCAAAAATAGTTCTTTTGTGCACTAATTTTGTACAGAAAAACCAGGACAAAAGGCATGCATGGACAAGGAGAGGCTGCCCGGGAACGGCATGCAACAGAAGAGAGGTCAAAGCTCTTTAAAGTCAGCTTACAATAGGCATAAATACATCAGGGTTATATATATTAATAAGGGAGGAAGTATTCTGTTTAACATTATTAACATTCCTGTTTCTTTATGTATTTTTCTTTTTTTTTTTTTTTTCTTCCTATTCCTCCCAGAGGAATACACATTCACCTTTAAGTAAAGATAAAGGAATACAAAAAATAAAACTCACTTTTGCAAACTCTGATGACTCGTATAAAATCAACTTTAGTGTTATCGTCGCTGTGTGCAAATTATAGACGTCTGCGGGACCCACTTTCCATCAGGCACATTCCGAAAGCCAAACCCGACATGGAGAAAGGTGACAACAGAAATCGTTTCCCTAAGTGCTGACCCAACTCGCTTTAATCACAGTTTGGGATTTTCCTGCTGGATGCTGCCCGGGCTCGACCTCTCCCTCCCCACCCTGAATTTTTTTGGAGGGTTTTGCTGAGCTGAGCCCAGCTCGGTGTCCCCGGGGATGGGGTTGTGTCCCCGCGGGTGTCGCCTCCGGGGACAGCTCAGGGGAACAGCACCAGGAAAAGGTCCCCGGGGTGCGGGGCTGGGGCTGGGCGAGCAGAGGGAGGGGGGGACTTGCCCAGGACCCCGCGGTGGCGACACCTCGGCCGGGACACGGAGGGGACAGCTGCAGTGGGGCGAGCGGGGGATACAAAAAGAAAGGCACTGCCGCTTTATTACTGAATATTTGACTTCACAGCCTCACTCGTGCAACTGTTGGGGTTGTTTTTTTTTTTTCTTTTCTTTTTTTTTTTCCTTTCTATAAATAATTTTTATTTCTTTTAGGATTCAAGCTTTTTTTTTTTCTTTTTTTTTTTTTTTTTCTCCCCCCCCACTTTTAAGATTCTTTCCCTGGAGCTCTGCCACCCGCACTTAGCACCGGCAGCCAGAGCCAGGCAGCACTTCCCGAACGCAACTGAAGCCACTTTTTTGTTGTTTTTTACTCAAAAAACAAAACAAGAAACAGCAAACACAACTAAGTCGTTATTAACCTCTACACTGTCAATGGAAAATAAGCTTTTTTTTTCTTTTTTTTTTTAACATCAAAAGGATAAAACAATTGAATTATTTGGTGGTTGTTAATAACAGACATTATCATGGTTCCCAGCCATAGCAAGTTAATAGGTAAAATATCCAAAATAATCTCTCTGAACAATCAGAAAACCTCCGTGTCCGTAGTCACCGAAGGAATAAATAGAATTTCAGCTCTGTAAATACACTGGAGTCTCCCTGAGGGAGGCTCCTGCTACGGTGGTTCTGCTCACACCTCACAAGCTGGGGGTGCTTGGGGGTGACCCAGGTCCCCAGCGCCAACCCCGCTTTGCCTTCACCTCCTCACACCTCTTCCCAACCTCCCTGGCCTTCAGATTTTCCCTTCTCCACCCTCCCCATCACCCCCCCTCAACCTCTTGTCTGCCGGGAAGCAGGACACCAAGGAACAGCAAACATAAAACATTGCATTTGGCACTTGGGTTTTTGTATATATATATATATGTATATATATATATATATATATGTGTATATATATATATGTATCTTTTCTTTTTTTTTTTTTTTTTTTTTTTTTTCTTTTTAGAAAAACAACTTAAAAACGCTGCATGACAAAAGGATTCACACATCTCCCAGCCCTGCCCATGCTCGGGCTCCCCCTGAGCCCTGCTCCCTCTGATCCTGGCACATGGTGCTGCCCATATCCTCACAGCCCAGTTTGGAAATATTGCTGCAACCCATCAACTCAATTAATTGATTTTACATTTCTTATTTTTCCATCCAAGGACTTGGAGCAGCATTGGGACCGGCGGGAGCATCACTGCAGGTCTGAGAAGCGCCAGCTCGGATTTACCAATTTAACACCAAATTCAGCTCCTGTTCTTAAAAGCAGTTGTGGGTGAGGGGCAGCCCAGCCCCATCTCCCCCCCAGCACACGGTTAATGGCAAGAAAACAAAGCTGTGAAGCTGCATTTTGGTGCCTTTTGTGGCTTGGGTTTTATTTGGGGGCTCCTTCATCCCTCCTTGGCCACGCTGGAAAAGCCCCTTAGAGCCGGATTTTCGCAGGCTGGGCCAGATGTGTGGAGCCAGGATGCAGCAGCTTCCCGGTACCTGTGCAGGCAAGGCAAGAGACACAGAAACTCTCCCGGTGTCCCCCAGTTCACAGACGCCCCCTGGGACCCTCCTCTGGGTGAGATCCCGCTCCATCCCGCATCCCGATCCAAGCAGGATGCACCTGCCGACCCTGCACCGCCCTGAGCACAACGCTGCCTCCACACTGCAGATCTCTTGGTTAAACTGAAAGGAAATTTTGGGGTTATTTTATTATTTCTGTTTCAATCTGGGCTCGCCGGGTCAGTCCGTGCCCGAACGTGGCGGAACTCGAGAGACGGGACTGCCGGCCCCGAAGCCCCCGGCAGGGCAGGCAAATCCTCCCCAAAGGGATTTTGGTCACACAGCCCTGCGTGGTGTTCCGTGCTCCTTGGTATCCTCCTCCAGGAACAGGGTTTGCCCACGGTGCTCTGGTGAACCCTCCGTTGTCAGCACTCTCCTCCTCCTCCTCCGTGTCCCCCCCAACCTCCCCACGCTGCCTCGTCATCGTTGCTGAGATTTTTCTTTTTGCCATCTTTCCCCCCCCCCTTTAGCATGGATGTAATAAATGACAACACAAATTCCAAGTCTAATGATATGTTCACAAGGACAATCTACACATTCACAAAATTAAAACAGGAGAGAGAGAGAGAGAGAGAAAGGAGAGGAGAGAGGAGAAAGGATGCAAGCTATCGCTGAGGCTCCCTCAAGCCCCGACCTCGCCGCTGGACCCGCAGCAGTTGTTGTCCCAGCCAGCGTCCCCGTGGTGACGCCTTCTAGATCGTGGAGGTTCTGTCGACACCATCTGTAAACAGGAATGGAGAATTAGGAGCAGTCCCAGTGAGCACTGGTACTCCCCAGGCTGGGGATTTGGGGGATGGACCCCCAGAGCACCCCCAACCCACACAGTGAGGTGGTGCCAGGGCCACCCCCACAACCTCCCGTCTCCCCAGGAGGTGCAGAAGGGTTTTGGGGTGTCAGTGCTCTGCTCGTCTCTCTGTGCCACCAACTGTCCCCACCCCACAGCAGTTTCCCCAAGTCGCCGTCCCAACACCAGTCCAGGCCTTCCACAACCCCACAACTGCTTTCCCAGGAGCAGAGGGGGTTTTTGGGCAGCCTGGACTCGTCACAAGGAAGGTGACAGTCTGGGACAGTCTCCTACAGCAGGACAAGTTCGTGTGCCCCTGACCACGAGTCATGGGGACAGGGACAGAGCCGGTCCCAGGGGCTGCCTTGCCCGCAGTTCACCCAGCCCTGCAACACCCTGCACCACAGAGGATGCAGAATTTTCCTCCATCCGAGGATCATGGAAGGACAAAAAGCCCCCAGGAGTCTTTTCTGTCTCCCCAGAGCCCCTGTTCCCAGCACCTTGTGGCAGCAGGGACGCATCCAGCCACAGCCCGATCCCAGGAGCGAAGGGTCCATCACCCACTCCAAAACCTCACAACTGACCCCGGTACCAGCAGCCCCCTGTCCCCACCCCCCAGGGGTAGAAATCAGCACCCAACAGCACTTCCAACCCTCCAGCCCTGATCCCACCCCCCGTCCCCCCTCCCAGACCCCATCCCCAGGATGGAGAGTGGTGGGAGGCAGCTCCCAGCGTGGCTGAGGAACAGAGAATTCCCTGTTACCACCTGGGGCACCACAGCCACCTCCCTCCTTGACACTAAAAACAAACAGGTTTGTTACGACTTTTTTTTTTTTTTTTTTTTTTTTTTCTCCCACGAAAGGTTTATTTTTTTAAGAGCTATTTATAGCACGACCGGTTTGGAGAGGCTCAGGGAATGCGACCTGGAAAAAATAACTTGGAGGAACAGTACCCTGCAGAGGAACAAGACAGCTAAGCCTCGGCTGGGCACACGCCGGAGAAACGCTTCGGGCGACAGAAGTGTCCTTGTTTTCCCAGCCAGGGATGCTGCCAGAGCCCTGCTGCTTCCCACAGTCCTTGTTCTCCTGTTCCTCTCCCCGGGAAAGGCTGTTGCACCTGCAGGGGGCCTGGTGGCACTTGTCCTCCCCGAGGGCTCCTGGTGGCACTCGTGCTCTCCGAGGGTTCCCGTCCTCAAGCGTCTGTCACAGTCCAGGATTTCCGCAGCGAGACCCGAGCCGGTCACTTGGGAATCCGGCTGATGCTGGTGGCCGTGCTCATCCCATCACTGGGGGTCATCCCTTGTGCTTGGGGGTCCAGAGCGTCGGCACGGGACACCGGGAGCTTCTGGTGCCGGTGCTTGGTGCTGCAGCGGGCTCTCCATCGCTCTGCTGCTGCCTTTTCCATCTTCCCTGCTTGTTTTTGCCCCGGTCCTCCTCCCTCCCCGTGCCCATTATCCACTGGCACCCCCGGCTGTGTGTGGCACAGCCCCTGGCACAGCCCCCGGCAGGGATTCAGCCCCCAGCTGTGGGGCACCCCCGGACAATTGAGGGATCCGGTGGTGGAAGGGCACAACACTCCAAAGCCCGTGACCCATCCGAGCGCGCCGGCAGCAGGGGCTTTATCGAGAGCTAAGGAGAGTAGCGAGCTAACACTAATTATCATTAGCAAGCTGACGAGTGGCTAATTAGCACAGACTCCACTAGTGCTGGTGCGATCCCTGCATTCGGCTTTACCCCCCGCTCCGGCCGCCTCACCGAGAGAAGCCAATATTCCCATCTGAACATCCCTGGGAGCATCCCCGGGAGCATCCCCGCATCCGGCCCCGCCGCCGTCCCGCTCTCACAGCCACAGCCTGTCCCAGCTTTTGGGGGGCAGGGGGCAGGTGCTGGGGGGCTCAGCGGAGGCGGCGTGGACGTGCTGGAAGAGCCCCAGGAGGAGGGAATGCTCACCGCTGAGTGCGTGCTCCGTCATGCTCAGGCACAGGGACTCCAGCCTGTTGTTGATGTCAGGTTCAGTCACCGGCACCTGGAACTCTGCAGGGAGAAAGGGAATGGGAGACTCTGGTCAGGGACCTGGCAGGGACCCTGCCTGCCTGCTCTGTATGGGAACACCATCTGAAAAATGCCCCAGGAGAGTCTGGACTCTCAGTAAAATCATCTTCAGCAAGGGACACTCACAAAAGCAGTCATCACCCCCTGCTACCCACAAGGGATGGATCTGAGGGGGATCAGGTGCTGGTAAGAGATGTAAAGGGCAGCTGGAGCAAGAGCAGAACGCCACCCAGAGAGGGGGCAGCCCTGGTCATCTCCTGGGGATGGATGCTGTCCGTGCAGGCAGGGTTAGTGCTTGGACATGGGACGGCAGCACAGACCAGCAGAGCCACTGTCTGGCTTCTCTGGGACCAGCTTGGCTCCCACTCAGTCGCCCACATCACTGCTGCCACATCCCTGGGGGAGTGAGCATAAAAAGGGGACACACAGATGAAGTTTGGAGTGTTCCAACACCCCCATCCTAACCTAAACAGCAGCAAACTCTCCCCACCCTGCAGCAAAACCTGCAAATACAGCTTGTGCTACTGTGCTGGACGGCATCTCCCGCTTTCCACTGGCTCACAGGAACACGGGATGAGATCCAGGAGGGCTGAGGTCCCCCCACAGCCTGGCAAACAGTGGTTTATGAGCCCAGCATCACATCATTGCTTATTTTCCTTGCGACTTAATCCACGTCTTTGGCTCCCCGATCCTCCCATGCCCTCATCCACCACAGGCTGACGAGCAAAGAGAAACCCATTTATTCTCCTCCAAGGCCTGAGAAATGTGCCCTTGTCCCGGTGTTTAATCAATACCCAGGAACAGCTGCTGCTGCTCCTGCTGTACGGAACATTTGCTGCCCAAATGCTGCAGTTTAACACCGCCGGCGTGTGAGGCCAGGGAGCTGCCAGCCCAAAGCAGCAGGAGTGTAGGGATGAGGGTGATGGATTCCCTGTCCCGAGGTGTAAATGCTTCTGCTGTGTTGGAAGGAAAAGGCACGCTCAAAGGCTAAGGAAGGGATACATAAACAGGCTTCCTCAGGGCCAGGATGCTCCAGGTCCAAGGGTCCAAGGTCAGCGGGATCCTCCCTGAATCAGAGGATGCTCCTATATCCAGGAGCACTTTGGCAGTGTTTGGGAAGGAAGCTGTGACACAGCACCATTTCCCTTCACATGCACTGTGGAAAGAATTTCCCTTGAGTGCGTGAAGGCAGTCCTTCCGCACCGGGGCTCCGTGTCCATCCATGTGGAAAAAGTGATGGATGAAGCTACCACCTTCCCTCCTGATGTGAGCCCCTCAGAAGCGAGCTAGGCAAGGCACCAGCACTGTAACATACAGATGGCACATACAGGGTCAAACATCTCCCCAGTGATGTCTGTGGTTAAGCCAGCAATTCAGAGATAGCCCAGGGGGACCACACTGTGCCAGCACGGGCCTGTGGGGAGGCTCATCAGCACAGCTCCTCTCACCTTTCCTCACCTCAGCTGGCTGTGGGTAAGTGGAAAAGCACCTCTGCTGCCTACCTGGCTGCTGAAACATCAGCATGGTCTGCGGGGACGTGTGGACCGGCAGCGAGCGCGTCCTCTGCACCGAGCTGTGGCTCCGGCTGGGCATGCTGTTACTGCCCCCAGGGTTGGCAAACCACAGGTTCTGTGGGGAGCAAACAGAGTGTGGGATGCAAAGCAAAGCCCTCTGTGCCATGGGTTCATAACCACTTTGGGCTTGTAGAATCACAGGATGGTTTGGCTTCGAAGGGACCTTACGGATCATCCTGTTACAACCCCCTGCCGTGGCAGGGACACCTTCCACTGTCACAGACTGCTCCAAGCCCTGTTCAACGTGGCCTTGGACACTTCCAGGGATCCAGGGGTAGCCACAGCTTCTCTGGACACCCTGTGCCAGGGCCTCAGCACCCTCACAGAGAAGAATTCCTTCCCAGTATCTCATCTCAATCTCCCCTCTGCCAATGTAAAACCCTCCCCTTTCTCCTGTCGCTATCTGCTCTTGTCAAAATCCCCTCTCCCTGTTTCATAAGCCACTTTAAGGACTCAGCCCTTCCCCCTCTGCTGCTTGGTTGGTCTCCCTCCCTCTGTTCCCACTTCCACATCCCACTGCACACAGGGTACCACAACCCAAACTGCTGCAAACTGCTTGAAGAGTGGGGAAAAAAGCGGGGATCCAGACAAGCTGGGGAAGGAAAAGCCGAGGAAGCTCTTGGGAAAGGGATGGAAGAGCTAGAAACGCCGGGAACGCCGACCAACCTGTCTGCCTTGCTTGAGGATGGCGGGGCTGGCGGCAGGGCTGCGCTGGGGGGTGCCCAGCAGCCCCGTGGGGCCCAGCAGCCCCAGCCGGGCCGTGGGGAGGTTGCGGGAGGGGATCTGGAACTGCCGGGGATTCCTCCGTGCCAGCCCTGCCCCCGCGGATCCGGCTGTCGGGAGGGAGTTGGACTGGCCAAAGCCTCGGCTGCGGAGAGAGAGCACCAGGGGTGAGACACTGACCCCTGCAAGGGGGTCCTGACCCTCCCATCCCACCAGGAGTGAGACACTGACCCCTGTGAGGGTGTCCTGACCCTCCCATCCCACCAGGAGTGAGACACTGACCCCTGCAAGGGGGTCCTGACCCTCCCATCCCACCAGGAGTGAGACACTGACCCCTGTGAGGGGATCCTGACCCTCCCATCCCACCAGGAGTGAGACACTGACCCCTGTGAGGGGATCCTGACCCTCCCACCCCACCGAGGTGGTCCCTCCACCCCGCTCAGGCAGCAGGAAGGAGGCAGTCTGGGTGTGCAGCATCCTCTCCCCGTCTGCCAGTAGCCTTCCTGCCCTTCTGCAGCTCTCAGATCCACACTCGTTTTCTTTAAAGCTTATTTTACTCCTGCAAAATGGGTCTGTTCATAAATACAATCTAAAATAATTCAGGTAATGCCCCTGGAACTTGATTTCTTTGAGATTTCTAATGAGTGGATTCTCCAGTGTCTAATTTAAGTTCAGCTTATGCTGTTGGGTTTTCTTTCTCCCCTTCCAGGAGGTTCATTTTTATACATATAGTCACCTCTGAGACTTCTCAAGTTCTGTAAAATTTGGTTAGAAAGACCTAAAAAATCCAAGTTTATTAGGGAGGGTGGAGCTACAGGTGCTTTCCTGAAATCTCGTCCTGGAAGTTCCTATACTCCCAGTTAAACTGCTGACTTTCTGGGGAATAAAGAACTTGCAACAAACCAAGCTTTGCAGAATGAAACAAAGGGGTGATGTTGTTAAAAGTGATTTAAAAGTCTTTTTTCTTGGCATAATTCCTATGCTTTCTAGGCTCACCTGAAACCCAGCATCACCTTGGAAGTGAGCAAACGTGGTGCTCCCAACACAGCCCTGCCTGGCTCTCTGGCTGCACCTCTGGCTCTGCACCCTCTGAAAGCTTCCAGCCTTTTTTTCTGCCACTTGACAGCTTTTTGAGGAAACTCAAAAAAGGCAGCAGGGAAAGAGCCTGCTATTGGGGATACTCTGCACAGCTGGGAAGTGCTGGGTTTGGAGCCACGGAGACAGGGTGGGACTGGAGGGAAGGGCAGCGGCCACACGCACAAAGACACTGCTGTGCTCCCTTCCCAGCCAGCGCCTGGGATTTCACTGCTGAAGCTTTTCCAACCCTCCCCCCTTCCCTAAACACAGCTCTGAGCCCAGCAGAGCCCATCTGGGAGGCATTGCTCCCACTTGGAGTGCTCTTGCTCTGGCCACTGCATCCATCCCTCCCGAAATCCCGCATACCTCCTCTGCTGCCGATAGCCTGACAGCTCCAGGAGGGATTTCCGAGGGAAAGACCGAAAGAGTTTCTGCACCTGCTGTTTCCATGACAGCAGCCGCTTCTTCTGGAGCTCTGTAAACGCCTGTCCAAAAAAAAAATAAATAAAAAAGAGAGAGAGAAATAGGAAATGTATGAATATTCTTCTGGACACAGCGAGCAGGAATGTGCAGGTGGGTGTGTGGGTAAGGAAAGGCAGCTGGAGCAGGTGATGGGGTGAGTTGAGCCCCATCAGAAATTCCAGAGGGAAACACTGGTCTTTCTTCAGGATGCACTGATCTCAGGTGGAGAAAATGCTCTGGCAGCATTCCCTGTGTCCCAGAGTGACAGCCCAGTTCTGCCTCAAGGCTGCCAACTCTTTTTGGCAGAGCAGGGGTTTGACAGTGGGTCCTGACTGGTGGTGACACTTGTCACCTGGATGTGGCTCTAGAAATGCTGCCAGGGTGGGCAAAGCTGGGATTTGGAAAACTGAGATGCCCTGTGGCATCCTGCATCCTATCCCCCTTCTTGGGGCTGGGCAGAGCTTGGTACAGGAGATCACCCAGGGTGAGCCTGTCACCCACCCAGACTCCCTGCGAAGGTCACCCTGGCAGGGACAGACCTGCTCCCAGAGCTCCAGGCAGGAGGTGAGGGTGACAGGGACACCCACGTGCCACCACTGCTAACTTTAGACACCCAAGGTCTCTGTTGGAGAGAAGCAGAAGTCTCCAGAGGGCAATCTGGAGGCTAATTAGTGACTGACTTGATTGCTCTGAACCACTCTGGAGGAGATGCTCTCTCCTGGCGCTGATTATGCCGGAGCCAGTGCAGAGGGTGGTCCTGGGACACAGGCTGGCTCTGGTGGGAAAACTGCAGGCACTTTGGGAAAAGCTCCACATCCTCCTGGCTTTGCTGTCTGGCCCCAGGCCGCAGCTTCCACCACTTCTGCTCCCTGACCCCTGCCATAGGGGCAGGTGATGGAAGCAGCTTGTTCTTCCAGGTACTGCCAGTGTAGCCAGGAGACACTGCAGGACACCGGGGACACCGGCCATCCCTCCCTGCCAGCAGGCAGGAGCGTGCCAGAGCTCTGTGGCACAGTCTGGGCCATCCCAAACCATCACCCAGCCAAGGCAGATCCGCTGGGAGCAGAAACAGATGTGAAATCCCTGTTGCAAAATCCCAAGGCCACGTGGTGCAAAACAGGAGGAGGCAACGCCAAGAGATGGCCGGGTCTGTCTGATGGAAACAGCCTGCACGTTCATCCCAGGATTCTTTCTTTCATCCAGCTGCTGATGGGACTGTCACGAGCCAGATGAATTTCCCAGCTTCAGGCCTTGGCAATTAAACCAGCGTGGGGGGAAGCAACATTTCCATGCACCATGTTGGAGCTACTGCCTGCTCCAAGCCTGCTCTGTCAGAATTACTATTAATACCCCCCAAAAATATTTGTGTTAGAAACCAAAAGGTTTACATAAACAGACACTTTGGAAACAGTTTCCAAGTGATGAGAACAACATTTTTAGATGATCTGACACGACTCACCTCATGGATTAGACATTTGTCTATGAGCTGTAAATAGGAACTTATATTCTCTTCATCGGGTCGGGAAACTAAAAGTTGTGTGCAGACTGGAAAAAAAAAAAGAAGAAGAGAAGGGAAATGGGGATGGGGACACCAAGATGGGGCCCAGGAGGGGTGCCACAAACACTTTGGACATCCTGTTTCCCTTCTAAGCAGGAGTAGGTTTTTTATCAGTGAGAAAAAAAGCACCCTTCCCCAGTCCCTGCTGTGTCTTCCTATATTTAGGGCCAGATTTTGTTCTCTGTTATGATGGTGTAAATCCAGAGCAACACCATTGGAGTCCCCAAAATTAGACCTAAGCAACTCAGGGCCACAGGATTAATCCCTGTTCATAGGCAAGAGAGCTCCTTGCTCCCATGGCCAAAATGTGCCCTCAGTGCAGAGTGGTAGATTCCCACCTTCCCTGGTGAATTTTAACCTCTTTTGGAATGAATGTCATTGAAGGAAGTAGGAATGAGCTTACAGAAGAATGATTTTCTCCTGCTGTAAAACCCTGGGCAGGGAGGCCTGGGGGTCCAGGAGGACACAACATCTTGGCAGGGCTTGTGCCACGCTTTGGCATTTGTCACAGGAATAAAATGGGGCTGGAGCCCCACATGTGGCTGGTTCTGCAGGCAACCAGCTGGGGACAAGTTCTGCTCCAGGTTTCTGTATAGAAAACATCTCAGGTACTTTTTTACAAAAATGATTGGAAATAGAGACAAGGCTGATATTTCTTGTGGCATCCCAATGAGGTTCTTCCTGTTCCCGGTCTCCTGCAGATGAGACCCCCGTTCCTCATGGAGGGAGATCTCCCTCCATGCAGCCAGCACTGACACCTCAGGTGCCACCAGCAAGGGTGAGGGCACATCTAAGCTCACATAGATTTGTTCCAAGAGCCCTGAATATTGCACAGGAGGTTGGTCCCCACCTCAGCTTGCTCCTGTCACCTCCCAGTGTGTTATCCCTGATGCAAAGCTGCACACCCTGCACTACACATGGAATGGCATCAGAGTATTCTGGAAGTCCTGCATCCAAACTGGGGCATAAAAAGGGAATTGGACCCACTGATTTGCACTCAAAATAGCTCATGTCCAGCCCACACAGAGGGCTCCAAGCAGAGTAACTAAAAAGGGATGCTGCTCAAAACACCTCTGGATCAGTGGGATGACCCCAGGGCTCTGGGTGGGAAGAGAAAGGACATCTTCTACTCCTGACCTCTGGAAAAGTTGTGATTTCTGCCTCTGACCTGGGGCAGGGGGAGGATGTTTTCCGCCTCGGACCTGGGGCTTGGAATGCACACTATCTACCTGGGACCTGAGGCAGGCAGCTTGAGCCATTGCTGCCCGTCCCCAAAATCACTGCCCTTTCTTCTTGCCTCCAACCTCAGCATGACAGAACCTCAAAAGCCCATCGCCCCTCAGTCTGGGACCTGCAGGAGCTCAGGGAAAGGCGGCTGCCAGCGCACACCTCACCTGCCCCAAAGCAGCCCTCCCTAGTGATGAGTCCCCAGCTCACCGAGGACAAGTGACAGCTGCTCACCTTTCCCCATCACTCGGGTGAACTGGCCGGGCAGGTCACCCTCGGGCAAAGGGGCCCCCCCGGACTCGCCCTCGCACCCCGGCAGGTGATGCTGCTGCATCCCGGCCCCCGCCGAGTCCTTGCACTCCGAGCCTTGGCTGTCCGAGCCCAGCAGGGAGGAGGGGTGGTGCGAGTCCACGTCCCGGCTGTGCTCCTCCGTGCTCGAGTTTTGGCAAGAGTAGGCTTTGATGGGGGTGAGGATCATTTGGTGCAGCTCCTGCAGCGGGACGCGCAAGTTGCCGCCTTCCAGGATGTCCTGTGGATGGAAGCGGAGAGAAGAGGGTTTGTCTTTGCGGGGACAGAGGGACATCAGCTGCAAACCAGACCCCTCCTGTGACCCCCTGAGAATTCCCAGCTTTGCTCCTGCTTCAGGATCCTGCTGCACTCCACAGTCAATAGCCAGGTTTCCTTCAGCAAGTCTTTTCCTTGTATCAGGGGAGTGCTGCAGGGATTATCCCTGATGTGTTCAGATCTGAATCCCCAGAGATAAATGTGCCCCCATCAACTACTGGGACCCAAACCCACCAACAATCCAGCTTCAATGTTTCTACATTTCCACCAGGGAAATGGCAAGTCCATGAAAATGACTGATCCTGGGAGATTTCAATGCCCAGAGCAGCAAATATCTTTTTCGTTCCCCAGCAATCCTACAGTGCCAACATTTCAGCTCTATTTCATTGGAATTACATTAACATGGGCTCATTTCCCTTTTCCAGGACTGCCTTCAAGCCTGGCTCCCATTAACTGCTTTGTCCCAGAACTGCTTGCCATGGCATCCTCATACTCTGGGATCATCTCAGAGCCCATGCTGGGATGCAGGAGCCTGTCCTGTGGCAGCAGTGGGAGCAGAGCCCCTGTTCACTCTGGGATGGGCTGGGGGAGTGGATGCAGAGGGCACTGGGAGGGTTTCAAGGGGAGCAGGTGGTTTGTGGTCACACACAGAAGGGGACACCACAAGGTGAACTGATAACTCCCACAACAAAACCATTCAGCTTGGAGATCTCCAGGAGGGAGAGAATTTGGGTGCACCCCAGCCTGGTTCTTGGTGTGGATCAAGAACTCCATTTCCATGGTCAGATCCTTGTCCCACTGACGGGAAATAACTGCATTTTGTTTTTAATGTAGCCTGGACCAGAACAGCTCACTGCAGGCTCCTGCATGGTCTGGCTCACGGGACACTGCTTGGAAAGAGGCAACTTTTGGAGTGAATCCTGATGCACTGAAGGAAGGGACACTAAGTGGGCACATGGGATGTGTGCAAGCCCTGAAACAGTTGTTGATTCTAATTCCTGCTGCACTCCCAGCTCGCTCTTGGACATCCCAGCTCCATTTCTCTGAAAGTCCTAGTGTCAGTCTGCTGGGCACTGTTTTTTTGGGAGAAAATCCTGCCATGCTAACTAACATAGGGGGTGGAGCAGCTCTTTCCAAGAAAGCAGCAGTATTTAGCAGTGAGACACTGCCCAAAAACAAGTCCCACACATGCTCTTGTTTAGCAAAAGTTGGATGGGAAGCCTGGAAAACCAGAGACGTCTCCTCCCAGGGAAAGCAGCTCACAGGCAGCTCCGAGCCCCAGCAAAGCGGGACAGGGTCACAGTGCCACAGCCCAAACCCTTCCCTGGAGGGCTCCAACCAGTCCCTGCCACTTTCCTCCTGTATTTTACAGGGTGCCTGCCCGGCTGTGTCGGCTGAGCTGGGCTCCAGCTCCCGCACAGCGCCACTCAATCAATACCAGATTCCCAAATCCCGGAGGAGAAGCCGAGGAAGAGGCTGTGCAATCGCCTGGAAAACACAGAGCTGCAGCCAGCTCCATCCAGCTCCTTGGATTTAATAGTTATTATTAATAACGGAGGTAAATATGGCTTTATTAGTTCCTGCCATACTCTGAGCACAAGCCCATATTATAAATAAATAGTGAAGCAGTGAGCTAAGGAAAACACCAATAAATAGCAACACACCACAGAAGTATTTAAAAGCCCCTAGTGGGAGGCTCTGCAAGTTGCTGTTTGAAGATGGTGCAATTAAATATAATATAATACAGCGATAATAAATAGGAAGAGGTTGGGTGAGCTGCTCCCAGCTAGGTTGTGGTGCTGCTACTTCCCCAAAAGCCCCTTCTGCAGGTTTTAAGCTTTTGCTGGTGATAAAAAAGTTTATTTATTCTCCTTGGAAATTGAAGATGTTGTTCAGGCACTGATGTGGGTGCCTGGTGTTTTATCTAGGGACAGGGTGCCCATATGATGTTCCAGGAAGGCTCAAGGCTTTCTGAGCACCCTGGAGCTGGCCAGGGCTGCAGGGTACATCCATCCCAGCTGTGTGAGGTGTGGGAGATGCATTGGGACCCACCCTGTGAAATACAGCTTTAAGCAATGTGGTCTAGTGGAAGGTGTCTCCCTCACCACAGCAGAGGGCTGGAATTGGATGGTCTTTAAGGCCCCTGCCAGCCCAAACCATTCTGGAATTCTGTGAAATAAAACCTGCATCAGATCCCCACAATACGTGTAAACAAAGAGTGCTTCACCCCAGAATTCATTCCTGGCTTTGTGAAAACACAAGAAATACAAAGGATGGTTGTGATTACTTACCCCTTCTAGAGATTTGAGCAGGTTTTGTCTTTCTTTTAGCTTTTGGATACTGATGACTATTTTGTGTCTTGCGCCTTTGGTAACATTCTGCAAAAACAGGACAAAATTTGATGTTGGCACTTCCACAGGGCAGCTGGCTCAACCCAAACCCTTCCTCTCCTAAACAGAAAGGGCTGCTAGAAGTTAACTACATTTTTGAGTGCAGGGATTTGTGAGGGACATAGAAAATCACTCAGAGACTTGCTGAAGATGGTGATTTCCAGCTAGTCTGTTCCTCCGTGGTGCACCTCACACATGGAAAGCAACTGTGTTCCCACTCCTCGTTATCTCAAGGATAACGTAGAGTTGAACCTGACAGCAGTGGGAGCTGGAACCAGGTAATCTTTAAGGTCACTTCCAACCCCAACCAGCAGTATTCTATGATTCTACGACATTTTCAAAGGCAGTCAGCCATCAAAGCCCCACTGACTTTAAGGGAGCTGGCTATACCCCTGTAACTCCTGAACTTAATCCCAACTGGAAAAAAAGCCCCAAGCTCAGCTCCCAGTGATGGCACTTCCATGCCAGGACTGCAGTAAGAATGTGGAGATAAGTTTTTTTTTCAGCTCCAATGTGAGATTTTTTTTCACTCCCCAAGACCCAATCTCCCTTTTTCTGCTTCCCAACCACGGGAAGACACACAAAGGGTGTTTGGAAGCTGCCACCCCCCAGGTGACGTGGGACGTACTTGTGCCTCGAGCTGGCATTCGGTGAGGGCCATCATCTCCTCGTACGTCATCTGGGAGAAGAGGGCGGCGTACTTGTGCAGCCGGAGGCTCTTCAGCCAGGCTGGGACATCTGGAGCACAAAGGTAAGGACAGGAGAGCTCCACTGAATTCATGGAACGGCACAACCACGAGCGACAGCATCGACAGCGACACGAGGGGCATCCCAAGGGACACCTCACTGAGCTTGACGGACCTTTGGGAGGACACAGGGCTGTGGATGTGGATGGGACAAGGAACCAGCCCCTGGATGAGGACACATCCTCAGGAGTTAGGTTTCTGTGGGAAAGCCACTGGGAATTAGTCCATGGGGAGCTGGCATTGTGCCACTGCACGCCAAGCTCCTTGCTGCTTTCCCAGGAACATGGGAACTGCTGAAGCTCATGGGGTGGATGAGCTTAGGACAAGCAAAGGGCTGTTTTGTGGATGGCAGACACTGATTTATGGCATGAGGGAAGGTGGCATGCGCTGAAAATGGAACCAGCTGCTTAAACAGAGCTAGAGAGATGGGTTTGGGATGGAAAAATGATGTGTCATCAGAGATGGCCCCACACCCTGCTTCAAAGAGTGACTTGGACCTAAAATGCACTGACTGAAATGATTTCTTCTTTCCCAATCATTACCTGCAGTGTAGCACCTCTATTCCCAACTGGAGGGGGTACCCAAAAATACATTTATCTTCCTGACATCAACATGGTTTCACAGTGAGGAACCTGGGAGTGGAATCCTTCCTCTGTGACACTCAGAAGAGCCCCAGGGACTCCTTGATGGGGTGTCCTCCACGGAGAAGGCAATGTGACAACCAGCAGCTATGCAGGGTTTTACAGGTTTGGGGGTCTGTGGTGACACCCCACAAGGGAGGGGGGCCCTGCAGGTGTTTGTGCTGCAGCACAGCACCAGGCCTGTGACAACACTTTTCCTTTGCTTCCGATGCTTTGCCAAACTGAGACCTGCTTTGTTCAGCACCTACAAGCTGACAGGAGCTCTGCCACAGCCTGCCCAGCTGACGTGCTCCACTCCCAGCAACACCCTGTCCCCTTCCCTACCAGTGAGACACTCAGGAGCTCATTCCCACTGCTGGGACATCCATCTCATGGTGTGGGTCCAGAAAGTCCCACACTGTTGAGTACCACACACAAGCCAAAGATTGTCCATGACCTCCTCCTGAACCAAGGCCTCATCACTGGAAGGGACGGGGCAGGAGGGACCTTGGTTTGGTTCCCTAAGGCAATCCATACATCTGCCAGATGTCTCCTGCTGCCTGGGCTGATCCCAAACCCACCTTGCATCCAAATAAACCCAACATGCTGAGTCTTGCTCACACTCTCCAAATCCCAGACACACGTCGGGATTCACGTGTCAGTGAAATTCCTCAAGCGCTGCACACTCCGGAGATCAACCCCACACCAAACATGGGGAAAAGCAATTACTGAGCACAGATGGGCTGAAAATCACCACTTTCCAAAAGTTCTGGCGTGCAACAGTCCCAAGTCTGCTACCAGCAGCAAAAAGCCCCATTTCCAGGACAGGCTCAAATCTCAACATCATTTTAACACAAAACCACACCATTCTAGTGACAGGACATTAAATGTCTCTCTCACCTCCTGCCCCCAGGGCACACATCCATGCTAATGGCAAAGCCCACAGAAATACTTCCAGAAGAGAGATGCAACTTCATGTAGACACTGAACCCTGCAGGAAACCCATCTCCAACCCTTGCAGAAGTAGCTCTTTACTTTTGCATCAGCCTGGCTGGATCATGCCTTAATTTTGGGAAGAGTGATGGTCCCAGTGCCCCCCTGTCAGCAGAGATGGCAATCCTGGAAGCAGGGTGGGGAGAAGGAGCCACCCCAGGACATGGTGGGTGTGTTGTGTGTGGTGGAGCTTTCCCCCTTCCTATGGGGAAGAGGCAACCTGGAGGTGCAAGGACGTCCAAGGGGATTTCATGGTCCTTGGAAACTTCCCAATACTCTCCACGGATGGGTGAAACACCTGCCTGCAGAGCTACTCCTTAATCAGCAACTGCCAGGAGCTAATTGCAAAGTCATGCCACAGCTGTCAGGAAATTTGGAAGGAAAACAGCTCACCTGCCATATTTACACACAGGACACCTTGGATAAACTCCCAGCAGAAACCCCCAGCTCTACCCAGACCTTCCTCCTGGTGCTCCCCAAGCCGTGCACCAGGAATCACAGAACCCTGGAATGGTTTGGGTTGGAAGGGACTTTAAAGATTATTTAATTCCAACCCCCTGCCATGGGCAGGCACATGGGAAGGGACAGACAGACAGATGGGCTCCATGGAGAGCCAAGTGTCCGTATCTTCCCCTGGAGAAACCAAGATCTAGGATAAAGCCAAAGGGCATTTTCCCTTCAGCATGAAGATAGATGGAAAGAAAATAAATGGGAGACATGAGAGCATAAAGATAAACAGAAAGGAAAGAAATAGGTGACACAAACTAGTCAGGCACAGGGGATCTGTCATAGGTCCCTCACATTCCAGATCCTGTGGGTCTGGGATGCTCCTGGATGCCCTGGAGGCTGTCAAAGGAGGAACCAGCTGGCCAGAAGCAGGGGTGACACCCAGCCACAAGAGCCTGCAGGCAGTCGGGGAGACGTGGCTGCAATTCAGAGAAGGGACTTGGCAACCAGAGCAGCCGGTCTGGATGGAAAACGAGGCAACCCAATAAAAATTCAGCAAGTTCTGCGTTTCTGTAGGAACAAGAAACGGCACGATCGGAGTGCAGGGAACGGGCAGTCCTCTTATTGTTTTTCAGGAAAGCTGTGGGGATACAATGGGTCATATGCAGCCCACAGTGCTTTGTTATTTGAGGACAGTGAGCTACACAGCCACAGGAATGCTGTCTGGAGGCAAACAAGCCTCTGCTCTGCTTCCAAGTCCAGTTTTGGGCAACACACCTTCAATAAAACGCAGAGTTTTTGGAAAGAAAACCTGGCGGAGAGAAGCGGGAACAACCCCAAGTATAGAAAACATCATCTGGAAAGGCACTGGAATGGTTCAGCCTGAAGAAAACCCAGCTGATGGGGGGAGGACACAGCAGGCATGGACACCAGAGGTTGTGAACATCTGTTCTGCACGTCCCTGGACAGGGGGACAAAAGCCATTTGGCTGAGTCAGCAGCGAGGGAATCACGTTTGGGAGTCTGGGAAGGGACAGCCCGAGGAAGGGTGGACATAACCCAGCTGCAGGCAGCAGCAAAGGGATGTGTTAATAGGTGGGGGTTATTTAATTGATCATTGCTCGTGCACAGCCTCTGGGTCTTGTGGATTTGGCCACACAGGTTGATTGCACGGCACTGGGAAGTTTCTGTCCACGCAGATCCCGGAGCTGCAGCTGTGGATCACAGGGAGCCAAGCTCCCCATGGTCTCCTCCCCAGCTCCTTCTGCAGAAACCTGGAGAAATGTAGTGTTAAACAGCACCCCCACCACCAGAAACACTTGCTCCCGAAAAGTTCTCCGTGGCCCAGACAGACTGCAGGACCCGACCTGCCTCTGTTGCATTCCTTGATACCATGAGGGGTTTTTCATGCATTTATTTCATGCACATCAAAGCCATCCAGAGCCAAGCCAAACAAAGTCCCACATCCCACAGATTTATCCATATCTCAATTTGTCTGTAATTAGACTAAAATCAGACCTTGTAACTGTTAAAAATTACAATTATTTCCTTTTTCTGATACAACACTGGTTTGTACACAATCGAGCTGCTTTGCATTAATGCAAATTGGAGTTGTTTAAATCAGTCTGAGAGCTGCAGGATCATTTTCAGTCTGTTCCCAGGAACACACAGCCTGTGTGTTTACCCAGTTTTTATCTGTTCGTTCCTCCTCAGCCTGAAGTTTGCTCTGCATCTTTGACTGCAGCAAGTAGGGTTCATTTCTGCCTTGTTTACCACCAGAACCACATATATTTTTGCCAAAATCTCTGTGAAATGTAGGTATAATGGGAAAAACAACCGAAACACACAGGTTAAATTCACTGCAAACAAGTATCCCAAGCCAAAACTTCCCCAAGTACTTGGTGGGTACCAAACACTGCGATGGTAATCACACATGGCTTGCTAAGCTTGCTCTAAGCTATTTTTCACTGTCATTAAAAAAAAAAGAAAGAGAAAAAAGAGCACCACTCGCAGCCAAAAGCCACAGGCTATGGAAAAAACCCAGCTTTTTGGAAAGCTGGCAGTTCACAGGATTTTGGGGCAAAACCAGCCCACTGGCACCCGAGTGTAAGACGTCAGATCAGGACCAGCTGCTACTTAAAAGAAAACCCAACGCATTCCCCTAAACCTAAATTCCTAAGCCGGGAAGAAAATGCTGGGAGGCCCCGTTTGGTGAGGAGGATCCTCGCCCAAAACCGCCAACCGAGAGCCCCGCGCTGCCGGGAACGCGGCTCTGCCCCTCCTGCCTCTGGCTGCTGGGGGGTCGGGGTCTGGGTTGTCACTCACCTTTCATCCCACTCCCTTCCTCCTGGAATGTGTTACGAGCGGAAGGCTGATCTTCTAAATGTTCACTCCCACCACTTCCCGAAGAGGCTACACTGCTTTGTGGAGACAGGGGGGCATGATCGGAAGGGATGCACTGGGGTCCTCTAGCTCGTAAGTCCTCATGAGACATCCATCCATGTCCTAGAGGTTGGTTTGGCACATTCATGGGTGGGGTAAGGGACACAGAGCGTTTCAAAGGGCTGTGGTGTGTCTGGCCTGAGAGAACTGAAAAAAAAATAAAATCAAAGAGGTTATTCCCCCCTCGCGGCCCAGGATGCAGCAGAGTCCCCCGGAAAAGAAAAATATAAAAATAAAAAAATCAAATGAAATTATAAAATGTGTGGTGGTGGTTGGCCATGGTGCCTCGCTGATGGCTTTGCAGCAGCCCTGAGCCCTACCCTGAGCTCTCTGCTTTGCCTCCTGGGAAGCAAAAAGGATGGGAGTACCTGCAAGGAGATGGGATTGCATGATCTGCATTGGGCTGCTCAAGGCAAGGTGTTGCGTGGATTCCATCTCTAGGGGAAAAAACATCAATTTAGCAGTTCTGGAGCGTAAAAATCCCCAGGATGGGGATGTCCCCATAGAGATCCAAGGGAAGCATCTCTGTCTCTCCCTTTGGGTTAGGACCTGGCTTGTACCCCGAAGCAGGAGCACTTACACATCTCCCAGAATCATTGCAAGGGTATTTCTCATCCATAGGAATGTCTCAGCCTTGTTGAGTCTTACTAAAATCACAGAATCACGGGATGGTTTGCATTGGCAGAGGCCTCACTGATCCCATTCCAACCCCCTGCCATGAGCAGGAATACCTACCACTAGATCAGGTTGCTCCAAGCCCTGTCCAACCTACCCTTAAACACTTCCAAGGACTATCTCTGTTTTAAATACTGAAAAAAAGTACTAAAAGACTGCTCTGTTTGCTTAACAAAATTCAAATTCCATCACTCAGAATCACTAGAACTACTGGTTTAACCATAAACGCAGCGTATGTAATTTAATGTACAGATTTAGAGAAAATTTCCCTGCTCCAGGAAAATCTGAGGGCAGAGGGGTTAGAATGACCTTTCAGCCTACAAGAAACAGAAGCAAAAACTTTTCAATTTTTCTTTCCAAACCAGATTTTTAAACTGTACAAAACCTGGGGGAAATTCATTGTTCTCATGGCTTTTCCATCTAAAGCACCAAAGCCCTAAAGCTCCTTAATCCCCCTTTTTTTGCATTTGCAGCAGTTCATCAAAACCACTCAGACTCCTCTCCGTGTTATTATTTAATATAAACGAGTCTTGGTGGAAAACCCCCAGCCAGGTGCATTGTGCTGCAAAGGTTAAGCCAGGCTTAATTCCCAGCTCAAGCCTGGGGGAAAACCCATCAAAGCCATCTCTGCTGACCAGGAGAGGGATGGAAATGAGGCAGTAGTGGGGTTACAAAAGGAGGGGAGAGAGAAACACCAGAGCACATTTGCATTTATTAACCACCTGCAAAAAGCAGCTGGTACCACAGGCAGCTGCTGGATGAGGCAAAAAAACCTGTGGATTTCTGTAATGTTTAAATAATTCCTACTTCTGAAAGGGTTTTCTTGTGCCAACATGTAACAACACCGACACCACGCTCTGCAGGGAAGCACTGGGGTGGCTTATGGGGAGGAATTTGTTCCCTTCTCATTTGAAAACCATACAAACATCTTCCAGAAGTCTCTTGGCAGAAAAGGATGTCAGTGAGATCCTGAGACTTCATCCAGAGCAGTGCTATGCTTCCTAAAGCTGTGATACATCCAGATGCAGAAATAGATGGATTTCAGAAGGTCCTGCCTAAGATTTTTCACCTCTTGGCTTTGCAATTGTACCCAAAAAACAGCATCTCTAGATGCCACACCACCCTCCAAAGAGAAAAATATATTTAGGATTTAAAACTCCCAAAATATAGGGGGAATTAAAGGGGGAAAAATGGATAAATTTGTTAAAATGCATCATCAGGGCTGAGCATCGGCTCCGCAGCACCCAGAGCCCTTCTGTGCCTGCTGCCCCCAGCCACGGTCACTCTGCCATGGGGAGAGAATCCACCCTGAATTTGTTGTAGGAAAAAACTCTGGTTTAGGAAATATTTGTGCCCCTCTGATGAAGGAGAGATGCAGGAGAAGGGGCAAGGAGGACTGGGGTTAATTGTCCCCTTCCAGGAGGCAAAAGGCTGCTCTGCTGATCCAGCTCTTACAGGGTGTGTGCAGACACTGGTACCCAGCAGCTCACACCACCTTCTCCCACCAAAACCCTGCACACAAAGAGGGTATTTTTGGCATAAATCCAGCCCAGATTCCTTCACAAGCAGCAATACCCCTGTAAACTGCTGCTCTTCCATCTTAATTTTATGTCCCCTAATTAAAAGTTGGTGTTGGCTGAAGGAGAAATAATGAACTCCAAAGGATGGCCAGGGACAATTAGAAACCATCCAGTGCAACAGATAAAAATCAGTTCCGCTTCTTTCCCCGAGATAACGCAACGCTGGATCCGAGAGAACGTGTTTCACCAAGCCAAATTTCTACTGAACTGTGAGTCAGCTCACACAACCCCCTGAGATGCAGCAGGGATAATCCCTCTGCAAAGGATGCTTCGAGTCCCCAGCTCTTTGAAACCACCCCAGCTACCCTGGGGACCACACTGAGATTATTTAAGGGCTCTTAGCACCTGCCTAACTTTAGGGTCTGCTTTCTGGCTGTAACAGACATTGGTGATAATGTGGTTTCTTGCAAACCTTCTTACCCATTTCCATCAGCCCTAAAAATGCTGAGAATTCTGGGATGGCACCCCTCTTTTACTCTGTAATCCCCCAGATGCCCATATTTATTACATTTATTAATAATGTTTATTAATGCTGCTGCTTGTGGTCACACCCTCAGTTTCTCGAAATAAGAGGATGTAGCTAATTATTTCCAAAACAACAGTTTATTGTAGGTCCTGACCTGAATCTGACCATTCTGTGGGCTTATTGGATGGTCCAAGGTGAATCCAGGGCTTCTCCTGGCTAAAATAAATGGTCCACATGGGCTTTCACTTCAGCAGAAGAAAACCAAGTGTGAGTTTATCACCTTACACTCAAGCCTCCTCTTCCTTTACTACAAAAATATAAAGCTTTAATTTAAAAAGAAAATCTAAAATGTTATTCTGGGGCAAGATAAGCTCCCAGGAGGTGGGTGGGCACAGCTGCCTTTCTGTAAGACTCTACACAGGCACTGCCTGGTCCAGCTCCTTCCAAACTGGTGTCCAGTGGGACAGGGGCTGGAGCAGATCATGGCTTTCCCCAGAATAAGTGGGCTGGTGTCTCCTCTTTGCTCTGAGCAGCCAGGGTTGTGTCAGCCCACACCAGCCCAGGTTTCCTTGCAAGAAACCTCTCCATGACCTCCAGACTGGGATCAAGCTCAGGGAAATATTAGCAGGTTAAAAAAATTAAAAAAAAAGAAAAGAAAAGAAAAGAAAAAAGTGGAGGATGGAGAAGGAGTGATGGCAACAAAGCTCCCCATCACAGGAGGCAGCTGCTGACCACGCTGGGAGCATCCCTGTGGGACCACCCCCCTCCCTGGGTAAATCCAGATTTATCTCAGACCAAACCCTGGCTGGGCTGGCAGGCACCACAACACACTTATAGAAACTCTGAGGCTGCAAGTGCTCTCACCCCCTGAAGCCTTGGGTTTGGGATTTTTCCCGCCCCCCCTTTCCTTTTGAAGTGGTGCTGCCTATTTTGGGAGGCAAGGGCTGATTTCAAGAGGGTTTTTGTTCGCTGAGGACCATGTGGAACAGCGTCACACATTTGTGTTGTGGTTTCTCAGGGTTTTGGGCCAATTTTTTTCAGCCTGAGAAGGGAAAAGCCACCCATTCCTGTAATTAGAGCTGAGGAATTGGGCTTTGCAGGCAGACCTTCCTCCACACAGCGTGGGACAGCTGACAAGGTGCTCACTCTCCCTCTGCCCTTCATGAAATCTGGCTCAGAGTGCTGCAAAAGTCCTTGACAGGACACACATGTGAGAGTTTCCAGTGAGAACCAAACACACCAATTGGAATATTCAGAATGTCTCCAGCCTCTCCATGCCCCTGACACCCAAAGGACCAGCACAAGGTCCATACATCAGGTTGCAATTCCAAATAACATCTTCCCCGTGAATGCAGAAAGGAAAAAGCACTGCAAGGTGCATAATGAACTCTTTAGGACCTTCTTTTGGTTTTTTTTAGTCTAAAAATGGCACTTCCTGGCTGCAAAGCTGTTTATGGTGCATCCTCAGGCAGCATCTGACCACATACAGCTCCTTTCCTGGTCTGTCAGTACCTGGAACAGCAGCCTGACCCCAAAAAGTGGGGATGTTTTTAATCCACACAAGGTTTTGTGCAGCCTGGGAGCTCCCCCATTGAGAGGGGACACTGAGAAATCCCCTCACAAAGCAAACCCCAAGTTCAACTCAGTCCTCCCCTCTCTCTCCTCCTTGCTATCCCAGTCACATCCTCTCCTCCAGGAAGGCTTCCCCGTGCTGGCACACCAATGCCCAGGGCTTTTCCAGCCTTTCTTTGCCGAGAACCCTTGGAAAGAGCTGCCAGTGGGTCACACTGCCCAGCTGGCACCCAGCATCCTTCCTGGGCACCTCATTCACCCTCTCCCCACACTGCCCCAGGCAGCTCCAGCACGGCCAGAGCAGAACCTGATTGTACATTTTTCGGCTCAACATCCCCTAACCCTTGGAGCCTCTTCTTTGTGCCTTTTTCTCTTTAATCTCCCTGTGTTCTGTGGCTGTGACTTTAACTGCATTTGTAGGAGCTGGATAATCCATGTCCTGGCCTCTGATATAACCCATGAAGGGGTAAAATTCAGGGTCCTAAATGCAAGAAGCCACTGGGTATAAGGAAAATAGTGGTATTAGGAAATGAGTGGTATTAACCCCTGCATCAGGAAAAAAACCTATACAAGCAGAGTGCTGCCTCGAGCAGAGAAATGGGAAGAAGCACAGACTGTAGAAAAGGCTGTCAAGCAAATTTTTTTTTAGAGAAATGTTGTTTTTAAACACAGTTTCCTGTTCAAGAAACTGGACAGAGAAACAATAACCTGTTTGTTGCTGCTCTCTCCAAGCAGCACATGCGAGGCCCCATCCAGGCTCAGCGGGGAAGGAACCCTCACTGCGGGTTTTGAAATTCCCTGCATGGCACAAACACACGTGGACCTGCTGTTTGGCTCCAGCAGGAACTGCTGTG